TGATAGCGACGTCAGAGTTACCAAATAGGGAACTCAGCCACATGCGAAATGGCCGATAGGGCCACGGCAATCACCGAAAGTTCTTCTTACGCGCACTGATTCGGTCTGCCGCCCCTTTTAAAGGGTTAACCTCTCGTCGTAAACGAGAGCCCTCTTTTACTGTCCATCGATGGCTATCAGCGAGAACAGTTTGTGCTGTTCTCGAAAAGCTTGAGCAACTGCAGCGCCTCCACGGGTCATATAAACTGTCTTTCTTTCCACGATATGCATCTAAAGTGACGTCATGATGGCCATGCCGGGTCGTCCACACGGCTGGCAGACCTGATTCTACGTTTCACCGCAGACATTCAATCCTTGCGGAGATATGACTGGTTGAGCGCCTTTTGCAAGGCGCCTCAAAATTGGTTGCAGCACGAGTTTTTGGCCGGCAACGCTTCACGAATGACGACATAGCAAACAGAAGTCCGTGATCGTGGCAAGATCCCAGGGGGGTGGTTAGTGCCGTACGTCTTTATGTTGTGCTCTTCCGACAACCACTGTGTCGCAGCCCTTCCCTCAGAAGGCATGACCAAAACCGTTTAAGCAGGATGAAGTGTGCAGGAACCAAACATGGAGCGGTTAGGTCTAGAACATTGTCAATTCTGAGAACACCTCGAAAGGCGCATGGAAAAAATCGTAACCAAAAAGTTCACCCCAGTGGAATCGGTAGATCTAGTAACGCAGTAGGGTGGTGACAAGATCCACAGCAGGGCACCGTCTGTAAACCTACACGCAAATTGGCAGTTTGCACCTAATCACCACTCAGTAGTATTGGGACGTACAGTCAGGACTTTGCGGTATAATTGTTTTGCTATCATTCAGAACAATTGCAACATTACGATAACCATGGTTGCCGGTAACATCCCCGTGGCAGACCTAGTGGTGTGCGTTTGCAATAGAATGAGCCAGAGTTGGCAAGTGTCTCTTTGATAGGTAAGCAATGTCGATGGGATACTGTGATGATAATCACACAAATAAGTTTTGTATTACTTATAATTTTGTCAACCAGCACACATGAATGCGTAGCTCATAGTACCATAGAACAATGCAGTCAATGCCCTAAGATGGTTATCCACCTGACGTATTATCCCTGAACACTGAAAAGTGTCGAGTCCATCATCCTGTTCGGGTCTGATTTAGCACACATATTAACTACTTTTATCCGGCCCTTATGGTGATGTGGCCAAGTCGGTTGTGAGATGTAGCATATCGCGAACGGACTTTCTTTCGAGCAGGTAAAAGTGTGTGACACAGTCACCTAATAGAATCATCAACATAAATTGTTTTCGAGCGTGAATAAAAGTAAACGATCGGGGTGAAGTCGGTTGGCCTACGGCACCCATTATTGAACACATAATAGGTCACGGAATTAGAGGATGTCAATAAATTTTACGTACTTTGTCGACTTTACCTTGTTCAAGTCAACAATGCCTATTGAACTACGAATAAGGACGCCTTTAACCGTAACCACGTTTATTCAGATCCTTGTCTGCTATCAAACTTCGAAACAAGTCCACGCATGTCCAGAAATGATCAAATGTGTCGCGCGCGAATTGTGTGCGATAGTTAATCTTGTTTAACACGAGACTGCCACTAAGAATGAGAACTCGAGGAAGACAATTTATTCGGTGGTACGGACTCCCTAATCATACACACATAGAGGCATTATCTGCGGTGTGAACATCTCTGGCAGCACTGTGGAGTTCCTAAACTTCAGCTACAAATATAACTCGCAGAAGAAAACATGGTCAGGGGCAGATCGCATTTCTTCGAGAAAGTTTCCAAGCAGAGCGGCACCACTAATATGATCAGTTCAGAACGAGGCCAGAACTAGCCGGGATGCCCTGAATTTGTGCAGACGGACGGACGCTAGTTGACAGTGGCGCTGAAATAAGAATAGTTTGAGTTGACCCAATTTTGAAAAAACTTGAGGT